TCTATGCTGAAGTGGAAAAAGAACCATTACCATGATGTGGGATTATTATATTGTTGGAAGATCATTTACTTAGACTTGAGGTCATACCTGGAGTTGTTATTCTTGCTTACAATCTAAGCGTTTTAATTTATTCATGTTTCCATAATATGTGGATTCTGTCTTTCTTTGGCTGTCCTATTCTATATACATATATATATATATGGTATTTAATGCTCCCTTTCTTGGAAAAGATACCGTCATTGCTTTTTGTTTATATATGTTATATTGTCTATTCAAGTTGTTATCCTTTTGGTTCAGTCATCCCTGAACGGATCAGCTTCAAATCTTCAAGACAACACTGGGCGACCATTTTCTGCATCTTTCTCGACTCAATCTGGTGCACCTTCCCCTGTTTTCCATCAAAGTGGTTAGTGAATTATACTGGTTACCGTTGCTATTTTCATATGTACCTATATCACACCTTTTATGTGTGAGGTTCTCTTTATAGGATCTGTTCAGGGGCTCCATAACTTACATGGTAGTTTCAATGTTCCCAACATGCCGGGCTCACTTGGATCAAGAAATTCAACAACTGGTAATGTACCTTCAAGTGGGGTTCAACAATCAAGTGGAAACCTTTCTGGTGGAAGATTTGCATCAAACAATATCCCTGTAGCTCTTTCTCAGGTAATCTACGTTATGTCTTCATGTGTTTACTTAAAAATTGTTTTCATCATTCAAATATGTTATTTAGACACGATTGCATGACACAGACTATGGCACCAACCAGTGGCTGAACCAGGATTTTTGGAATGTTGTATGATTAAATTGAAACTAAAGTATTGGAATGAACTAAAATTATAATCAAAAGTGAAAAAGGTTTTAAATAGTCATTGATTCATTGTACAAATGCTCATTCTCAAACAAGTAATAAACGTGTTGTAAAACATGTATTTTTCGTATGGTAGAACTACTCTATGTGCTTCTCTTTGTGTTTCAGTTTCAACACTAGTAGCAATTATTATTTTTACATCCATGGACATGAAATTTCAACTGGGAGAAATACTTAACTATTAAGAAATAGATTTACCTGTGGAGACATACTAGTTATATTGATTTATTTGTCAGCACTTGGTAATTTATAATTTTTTGAGCTTATCATAAACAACCGATCATGATTTATTAAATCTTTTTTATAGTTAACCTAAATCTTTTTGTTGAAATAGCATCAATTGCATAAAATCTCAAACAAATGAATTAATAGATATTTGAAAATTGTTGGGTTTTGGATGGGATTAGAACTCTAGTTAATATAAGGGACTGAATGTGATTTCTCTTGGACTTGCATTATTTACAGAGTATATGATTAGAATACTTGAATTGAAGTAGGGCATCATTTGATAACATAGGTGTAACAACTTAAATATGTGCAGTAACCAATTATACTGCAACGACATATATGTCTGTTTCTGTTGGGTTATCTTTTAAAGATACAGATTTCATCATATTACTTCCAGTATGTCCTGGAAATTATAATAATCTGTAGAAACTGTGTGTTAGTTATGCCCTTGGTGCCAACTTGAAAATGACTAGTAGTGCATAGTGCACATCACAGTGCAATCCATTCCCCAAAACGGAAAAAATAAAATAGAAACGGAAGTGCATGATGTTAAATTAATTTTCTAGTAACATAATTAAATTACAAAATCTTTAGCTCTTATTTTATCAAAAAACAGAAAATAACTACCAAGTCAATAAACAAAAGCATGATATCTCTAAATTGGCTAAACACAAACAAATAAAGGATAGTCACAAATGACCATCAAACAATTAGGAAAATATATTCTTTTACTGGTTTAATGTCAAGGCCAACCAAAAAGAGAAGCCTGAATAAGTAACGAAGTTTGAGGAGTCGCTCATAAAACTTGTTTGTTGCAAAGAAGATTGTATTAAATCTATTGAAGAGAGTAGCAAAGAAAATCTACAAGAGGGGATGCTAAAGAGAAGCGGCGAACACATTAAAGACTTTCTTGTGTAGTGGAAACAAACGTTGAAGACCTGTGAGAAGAGAATGATGATATTTATTTTGATTTTACGTTTAAGTTAACATATATTTGTGGCTTTATGACCATGTGCACTGTGTGTATGCTCTGACTTTCTTTGGTTGGTGCTATGCTCGAGCTAGAAAACACTAATAGTCTTTTAACAAAGATTTTCTGATTTTGAATATTCACTCTCGTTTAATAATATGCAGATGGCTCATGGCAATTCACATGGTCACTCGGGGCTAACTAGTAGAGGTGGCATGAGTGTTGTTGGAAGCCCTGGATTTAGTAGTGGCACAAATGCAATTGGTGGTTCAATTCCTGGAATTCTCCCTACCTCTGCAGCAATCAGTAACCGGAGTAGCGTTCCAGGAGTTGGGGTGTCCCCGATTTTAGGAAATCCAGGCTCTCGGATTACAAGCTCGGCTGGAAACATTGGTGGCGGAAGTAGCATAGGAAGAAGCATAAGTTCTGGAGGAGGATTGTCTATGCCGGGCCTTGCTTCTCGCCTAAATCTGAACACTAATAGTGGATCAGGAAATTTAGGCGTGCAGGGTTCAAATAGATTAATGGGCGGTATGCTTCAACAAGGTATTTTATATTTTAGTGTAACGTCTTCTTACTTTAGCTATAGGTTTCTGTTCTTCCACTCCATATTTTAATCAGTTTTTATGATTCATTGGCATGACGAGTTTCTTAATTGTATTCGGGATTTCCATTCTTTTCTCGGGAATATGATTTTTACAATTCATTGTCATTGATTTTACTGCAATAATAATGATGGTTTTTGGACACAGCTTCCCCACAGGTTATGTCTATGTTTGGGAATTCCTATCATTCAGGTGGACCACTTTCTCAAAACCACGTTCAAGCTGGAAACAGCCTTAATTCAATGGGAATGTTAAATGATGTGAATAACAATGATGGTTCCCCATTCGATATAAATGACTTCCCTCAGCTGAGCAGCCGACCAAGTTCCTCTGGAGGGGCCCAAGGACAAATAGGTAAATCTCAAATTTAAAATTGTGTCTGACCTGATTTCAGGCGTTTATTTCTCTGCAATTTTTTTTTTCATTTAAATCATAAAATTTCAGGTTCATTACGGAAACAAGGTCTTGGTGTGAGTCCTATTGTTCAGCAAAATCAAGAATTCAGCATCCAGAATGAAGATTTTCCTGCCTTACCAGGATTTAAAGGTGATTGCACTCTCATATGTGGGTCTGCCCATTTTGATAAAAGCATTTTTTACACGCACTGCCTCATCCTCAAGTGTAGGTCAAAAAATACATGTATATATATATGTATATCATATATATCTATATATATATCAAATATCTCATATATCCTGTCTGAAGTAAACAGACAACTAATCGACGTCATTAAAGTTTTTATATAGTACCAGTGCGGCTATCATGTTGGTCCTTCATGGATCCTGATTTATCATTTTTAGTTGTGTTTCTAATGGACATGGATATAAATTTGACATCCCACGTTACTGACTGGTGCTTAGATATTGTCCAGGTGGCAATGCTGATTATGCTATGGATCTGCACCAGAAGGATCAACTTCATGATAACAATGTGTCGATGATGCAGTCTCCACATTTCTCTGTGAGTGCTACTTTTGAGGATTGGAGTATGCCACTGTTTTCTTTTCAATTTTTTAAGTCCTGTGGTTCCTTACGCAGATGGGAAGGTCTTCTGGATTCAACTTGGGAGGAACCTTTTCATCACATCGGCCACAGCAACAGCAACATGTTCCATCAATTAGTAGCAGCGGTGTCTCCTTTTCATCTGTAAATAATCAGGATCTACTCCACTTGCACGGTTCAGATATGTTCCAAGGATCACATTCATCCTATCATTCGCAGGTATCCTTGCTGCTTTTGCCTTAGCAAATGTCATAATTGAGTTATGAAGATCGGAACTTGTCTTGACTTACCAAGCCTATTTGGCCTGGTGTAGTATTTTATTATGGGAAAAGTTCGGAAGAATCCAACTAACTTTCCCATTTTGAATGATTACGCCCATGAACTTTTTTTGGATGAATAAACCATTGAACTTTCTCATTTTGAATCATTAGGTTCCGAACATTTTCTTGAATAAATAAACCATCTAACTTTTAGAAATTGGCTACCTAAATAAACTACCTGTACCCAGGTAGGAAGGTTTTAAAGTAAAAGAAACCTAAATAAGTTTTACTGTTTCCAAACCCCAAGCGATTCAGGCCCTGCCATCGATATCCCTTTCTAAACCCAACGGCATTGCTCCCCCTCGCCGCCCCATTGTGGTCTGTTCTCCATACTGCCCATCGCCACAGTTGGCTCCTGCCATCGATATCCCTTTTTTGATCCTTTTTTTTGTTTTTCGATTCTCCTTTTTTGATCTGTCTATGCATACACCATTAAACTGATGTAAAGAGATCAAAAGGCAAAGAATAGATAAAAAAGAGGGATACGGCAGTGATGAGCTATATGAAGAATACTACTTAGATGCTTTCAGCATTTAGAATTCAGATTCCAAATGAACAAATTCAAACTTGAAAAGGATCTTTGTGATTCTCGAAGAAGATCTCAAGTATCTGGAGTTTTTATTTGTATATTATAGGGATGATTTTACGACTATGGGGTGGTGAGGGGCAGTGATGCCGTTGGGTGCAAGGGGTTTGAATGTTGTAGGGTTTGGGACAATACAACTTATTTAGGTTTATTCAAAATCTAAAACCTTCCTAGCCGGGTGGAGGTAGTTATTTTGGGTTAAAATGATGTAGGCACCCAAAATTTAAAAGTTCCAATGGTTTATTTATTAAAAAGAAGTCCTGGGACTTGATCGTTCAAAATGAGAAAGTTCAATTATTTATTCATTCAAAAAGAGTTCAGTGACTTAATCAATTAAAATGGGAAAGTTTGTTAGGTTTTTCTCGACTTTTCTCCTTTATTGTCATTGTCATTGTTTTTCTGTTTTCTTGATTGCAAGAATTATTTGATCTGTTAAGGTGGTGACATCATTGCATAATCTTGATTAAACTAATTATTTTGTTTAATGACTGATGTAATGAAACTTGATTTTGAGGTGGTTTAGGCTGGTGGAGGTCCAGGTGTAGGTTTGAGACCTTTAAACTCTCCGAATACAGTCTCTGGTGTTGGATCATATGACCAACTTATCCAGCAATATCAACAGCAACAGAATCAATCTCAGTTCCGCCTGCAGCAAATATTTGCCGCCAGTCAGTCATATAGGGATCAGGGGATGAAATCGATGCAGGCTGCCCAAGCTGCCCCAGATCGATTCGGGCTGCTTGGTCTGTTAAGCGTAATAAGGATGAGCAATCCTGATTTAACATCTCTTGCACTTGGAATTGATTTGACAACACTTGGTCTGAATTTGAATTCGGCAGAAAACCTTCACAAAACATTTGGTTCTCCATGGCTGGATGAGCCTACCAAAGGAGCTCCAGAATTCAACGTGCCACAATGTTATTATGCCAAACAAGCACCGGTCCTTAACGTAAGCTGGCCATTGTTATTGTTTTCATTCCACATTTGGGCAAATTGCATGAAAATGTAACGTAATTAGGTCTGAATCCTATTTTACGTAATGTATTTTCAAAGCCTTTATTTTGGTACCTCAGATGTGACATCTTAAACATTTAGGTACCTGGTTTACGTATGAGAATGCATGAAAATGCAATGTACTTGGTCTGATTCTTATTTTGTGCAACTTATTTTGGTCTAAATGTCTGAAATGTCGCATTTGAGGTACCAAAATGAAGGTTTTGAAATTACGCTATATGGAATAGGAATCATATCAAAATACGTTGCATTTTCAGGCAATTTGTCCTTTGATAGACATTCTAATTTGTTGCTTCTAATATTTGTTGGATTTTTGCAGCAAGGATATTTATCGAAGTTCCAGTTGAATACTTTGTTCTATATATTTTACAGGTAATTCGAGTCCCTTGTGGTCTTTCTCCTTTGGTAGTTTTACCTTTATGAATAAATTCAATCTTGTTTGTTTCATGCAGCATGCCAAAAGATGAAGCCCAGTTGTATGCTGCAAATGAGCTGTAAGTTATCAGCCATGTTCGCCTTAGCTTATTGAAAAAGTCACGTTTGATTCGTTATAAAGTATAAACTAGCTGATAAGTTAGCTCAAGGAGGGGTTTTCCATTTATACCCCTTTACATTGAATTTCCAAACATGTCTTTTTAGGTCATTTTACATTGTCATCTAGCTTAAACATGATTATTTTGATGAGACTATTTGTACGGTGTTTACAGGTATAACAGAGGGTGGTTCTACCACCGAGAGCATCACTTGTGGTTTATGCGGGCTGCAAACATGGAGCCTCTCGTTAAGACAAATTCATACGAGAGAGGATCTTACATTTGTTTCGATCCAAACACATGGGAAACAATACGCAAGGTCCGCTTTTGAATCAATTTTTTTTGCCTTTATCATCGTTTTGAAAACGGTAACTGATGGTTTGTATTTGTGTGTGTGTTTTTAGGATAATTTTGTTGTCTACTATGAGATGTTGGAAAAAAGACCAAGTCTACCACCTCAACATTGACAATGAGAAATAATTTTACATGTAAAGTTTCCTTGGTAGGTTTCAGCTTTAGATGTTTGTTGTCTAATCCTTCCCTCCTTTTGTAATTTGAGTTGTCATTAGGAATATACCATTCTACCCTTCTCTTTTTGACTTATTCATTTCTTCTTATCATTGCATTTGTAGACAGCTTTTCTCAGATGTTTGAAAATTAAACTAATTTATGGTTTTTTTTCTTCTTCATGTTTCTATTTTAGTTTTACGGTTTTACCCTTAATTATGAGAGAAAGATATTCATTATTCCTCTATATAAAGGGTAACATTGTCAAATGATTATTAAGAAATGTAATAATTACATATTTTTAAATTCCTGGGCTTTTTTTTCTTTTATTGTAGAAGTTTATTTTGGGAGAAGATGGGCTTGCTCTTGTGGGTTGGATTGGATACAAAGCTTAATTTTGAACCTGGTGTCTGATTGGTTTGAGATTGAGTTCCAAAGGTTAAAAGTGTCTGAAGGTTATATGTTTAAATCTAAGGAGGAATAAAAATCCTATTGTGGTTACGGAGGGTCAAATGTGGTGATTCCGGTCTATCTGCAAAGCAGGTGGTCATCCTGGTATTAGTCGGTTCGCATAGCGTGTTGGATATCCAAGTAAAAAAAAAAAGAAAAAAAAGCTTGATTTTGTATTTTTAAAATTGAATTATGAAATCAAATGGAATTCAATTCTTTGACTTGTGTAAAGGAATGAGCAAATCCCTCGAATCATAGAAGTTGAGACAATGTTTGGTTTGACTGAATGTTTTTGAGAGATTTGAATTTTATGGAAAGATTTTTAATTTTTGATCTGTTTGATTTGTAGGATCATTCTTTATTGATAATTTATAAAAGCAAAATATTTGTAAAACAAAGGCTTTTAAAATATTATTCCAAACAAAATTCTATAAAATCTCGTGAAATACCATCTAATCCATGAGATTTCAAAATTCAATGTTTGTCGGATTTTAATTCTGGATTTTTCTTAAATCAAACGTGAGATTGGAATGAAATGAAATCTGATTCGACATCGTAAACAAATACTACAACAAATCAGTTATCCAACCTTGTCTATTTTGTAGTTGCGCATTAAAAAAAGGCATATTTATCAAACGCTTATCGCGTAAATGCGTACTACTAGCAAAAGTTACCATCACTCAGTTGCCTTATCCAAATAGATTGATGGTAAACGTTTCTTGCACAATAAGCGTTAATTGGGTAAGAGTCTACTCCCTCCCATATACAGAATAAGAACCGGTTACAATTTTCGGTCCTTACCATGCTCATTCAGTAAGATAAGACGATACCCAATAAGCACTTATCCGATAAATGTTTGATAAACGCACTTGTATCATCTGAAAAACGTTGTGTAAATTAATTGTTGTTTAAAAGAAACAGAGATTACCAATATGCACATCTATACTATATTATAAAGCATTTGACAAAAATTCTTAAAAACCATTTTTTATGCCCGAAATACTGTTTATTGATGCATATTACTTAAAATTTAAGATTACAAGTAAATTATGCATACATACAACTTATTAAAGCTCCATATTTGAATTCACGTAACTAACTGCAGATAAACATAATCAAATATTGAATAAACATCTCATTTTAAATATAAAAAATTTAAAATATAATTGGGATAATCATTGAGTTCTAACAGAATACTTAGTTATTATCTTTATAAAAAATTATATTATTACACCTAAAATAAACTTTCTTTGTTACTAAATCTAAATTAAATTATAATTAAAAAAAATTGAACTAAGAAAATTAAACCAAAACACAAGAACTTTTAAAAATATTAATTTAATACTGATATCGATATATATTTTTTTCAAAATTTTATAATATTTTCAAATTTATATTTTATTTAAAAATAAAAACATTATCGTTTTTCTCAAAACCACATAAAATCGTATTATATCGAAATAAAACGAAACACTGAAATCAAGATGTGTCTCGATGCATTGCACGAGTACCCTTCTAGTATTTTAAAATGCTTAAAACGCATGTCACGTTTCCTTCAAAAAAAACAAAAAAAACACGTCACGTTTAATCGGACCCATTTTTTTTTTGTTCTAAATCGCATACATTTTCTTGAACTCAGTATTCATCGCGTCTGTGTCCGAAAATACAGACAACGACCAGGACCTCGACCTCGATCTCGACCTACTCCCGCTCCTTCTCAAATTTCTCATATTCGAAGTTTCTATCCGATGCATGATCACCCAATAACACATTAGACCCAAAGTCGACACCATAATCGACGTTCCTATAACCGTCACGCAGATCGCTAGCCATTTCTCGTGCTCCCCGACCACGATGAACGCGAGTGCCAGAAACGCAACCGATATAAGCACGCAAGCTAGCCACATTAGCTTGTTGATTATCGCCATCATTTGCTTCTTCGCTTTGCTTTCTATTACCACCACCGACGTTTGAACCACGACCACGGCTAGCGAGATGAATAGAGCCACGGAGTCGAAAACAAAAAAGATTATAAACAACGGTTGTGGGGCAATATTCGCCTCGCCTAGCGAATACCCTTTCGGAATGTCGTTCGGATCGTCGGCATATTGACCCGGGACCGTAAAGATTGCCGCAAAGGCGACGGTGGCGATTAACACTGCCACCACGGTGGTGGAATTTATCGCGTTGTTGAGGCCCTCGGCTTGCATTTTGTTGAGATGTTTACAGATGCCTTGGACCCTACGTCGAGTTTGGAGAGTGTGTTCGAGTTGGTGGTGGACCTCGTGCTTTATGTCGCTGACGGTTTGCTTTAGCTCACGAGCCGGAGTCGAGGGAGGTTTCAGGGCCTGAGCGCTTGGGACCCCGTGTTCTTGTAAGATACATCCAATTTCGGGATGGCCCATTTTCTGAGCTGTGTCAAGGGCGGTCTCGTTCGACCTATTCACGACTTGTGTGTTGGTTTCACCACGAGCTAGCAATATCTTTACGATCTGCGTAAACATAACGATTATATGCGAGAACGAAAGATTAACAATTCGTTGCATTTGACATCTTAGATTCATCACACCGAGCGTCAAATGCAATCAGGGTTCCAATGGATTGCATATGACGTCCATCGGTACAACATCTTAGACGCCATATGCAATCGTGAATTGCATCGGACGTCAATTGATACACCATTTCAGACATCAGATGCAATCACATCTATCATGTCGAGGATTGCATCTGATGTCTCTCTCGATGATACCATTCCATACGTCAAATGCACCTTATATCAAGAAACTCAAAACCGAATGCTTTACCTGAACCCGACCTTTCCGCGTTGCTATATGCAACGCCGTATTACCCTTGGCATCGACAATATTTATCAGCGCCGGATCCGCCTTGATCAATTCCTCAACCACCTCATGATTTTTCCCTTTCGCAGCCATGTGAAGGGCGGTCTGCCCCTTCTTATCAATCCTTGCCGAAATCCCGGGTGCCTTCTCCAAAAGAGCCTTCACCACCCGAACATGCCCGTTTCTCGCACTCGAATGCAACGCTGTTTTCCCGTTACTCCTCGCTATCGAGGCCAAGCTACTCTCTATCTCCAATAGATAATTCATCACCTCAATGTTGCCTTGCATCGCCGCCGTGTGCAACGCCGTGGTGTTCGACATATCCACCGTCATCGATAACTCCGGGTGGGCCTCCATTAAGACCTTCAATATCTCTGTAAATCGAACCATTAAAATAATATATATATATATATATATATATAATAATAATAATAATAATAACCGAAAATTAGAGAAACGGGCATACCTAAATCTCCTTGTTTAGCAGCAATGTGAAGAGCATCAAAACCATTATTGGCTTTGATGCTGGCAGTTGCAACATCACATTGATCGATCAAAAGTCTAACTAAATCAACATAACCGTATTCCGCCGCGACATACAGCGGCGTTTCGCCGGCGTAATTCTTCTTGGCCAGCAATGAAATCAATTCTTCCTCCTCATCACACTCACCTAAAATCTCCATTACTGCGTTAATGTTTCCAGCCCTGGAAGCTGTATGCAAAGGGGTATCATCGCGTTTTCCGGTGACTAGTTTGGACATTTTTTTCCGGTAAGTGGTGGCTCTGGGTGTGGCCGGTGGTAGACCTCTTTCTGATGGTGCTTTCATTGGAGAAATTTGTGTATATAGCCTAAAAAACGATCCTCTGCTTTTATTTGGAGGAAGTTTTTTTCGATTCTAATGATCAACAACACAAATCCTTTTCTTCTTCCCCTCAAAAACCCAGATCAAAAAGAGCATTTTCAAACCTAGAAAAGCTTTCTTCATCTAAAAAATCAACAATCTTGAAGAATCTGATTGAATTATTTGATCACAGAATGCAAATATTCCCTGAAGTTAACTTCCCAAACTCCATTATTGATGGATTGCAATCTCCTGGACCTCAAATTTATTCCCTGTTTCAAACACAATAATCATAGAAAAACAAAGGAATTTGCTCAGCGTCGTTTTATCAAACAGATAGCATGCGTTAGGAAATGGTGATGAATGATGGCATCATAAAAGCTAAAAAATGGATGAAACAGAAATGGGTTTTTTTTAAAAACAGAGGATGTAATGAAGGAAAGAGAAGAAATTACCTGGGTATGAAGAAAGGTGGACCTTTTGCTCTCCTCCATTTGGAACCAAAAAGCCCATGAATTGAAAATGGCTTTTTGAGATCAAATCAATCTGTAAATGGCATTAAATGACAAAAGAACCAGAGCTATAGTTGGTTCCCTTTGTAATGTATCTTTTTGGGTTGGATCAATGGAGGTGGAGAGAAAAAGAAGAGAGAGAGAGAGAGAGAGAGAGAGAGAGAGATGAGAGAGAAAGGGATATCAATGGCACATGTATCCAACAAAGGTTTTGTAAAGTTATATATTTCATAAAAATAGAATCCGAATCACACCCAAAATCTCTTTTCTTCATTATTCCCCAAAAAAAAAAAAATTTATTTTATAATATAATTTAAATTATTTTTGCACATTTTTTATATTAAAAATTTGTAATCGTTCATACACTGCTATTTCAAATAACATATCCAATTACAAACCAGTTTTTATGTGTTGTTTTATATACATAAATACACATGTGAAACATGCATTTTTTTTATAGAGCGCCGAATGGAAATTTCGAGACTGTCTGCCATGTGGGGAAAAAAAACACATGTAATATGGTATGAATCATAACTTAAAGATCGAACTCGTGGAATGATCTGAATTGGTTTGTACGAGTTCGTATTTGTTAAGTATGATACATGAATATATTACTCTTCGGTTCTGAAAATACTTACAGCTTCGAAAAATTTCCGCTACATACATATTCTTTCGTCAGTACCGAACATTTGAATGTGCAAACCCATGGGTAACGAAGGCTATATTTGCAATAAAAAGGGAATAACTTGATGCCATGTTTGTTTATATAAACTTTTCGTTACTTTAATTTTAAGCGTTAATAGAATCTTTTGTTTTAATTGACTGATATTTATGAATAATTTACTTGAACAGATGAATCACACATATCTCGTTGTTATAAATCTAATCTTATGATTTAATGTTTATTGTACATTTAGACTCGTTCATATAATCGAAAGTTTTAAAATGAATACGTATGCAAATATTAGGTGATTTTGGATCTTTTAGCACCGTTTGATTTGCGAGATTTTGTAGGATTTGAAATAGAATTTTATTCCAGTCTTGTATTTGGTTTGAAGGAAAGTTTGGATTTGAAATTCCGAGATTTCAATGAAGCTCCAAAATCGATGGATTTAGAAACCCCTTTGAGATGGTTGTCGTTGCAAATCCAAATTCAATGGATTTCAATTGTTTTCGTCGCTTCTCTACCCTGCCTTTTGATCAAATCTGGCGTAATTTCTTCATCACCTCCACATCTTACTGAAACAATCATATTTACAAAAAATTAAGTCTCGTTTTAAAACCTACAAACCGAACACATCGAAGATTTCCAAATCCTCCCAATTTTAAATCATTTCACGAAATCTAAATCGCTCAAAAACATTCTGTGAAATCAAACATGCCCTTAGAGATTTTCCTTTAGTAAGGAATTTTGATTGACAAAAAATCACAAAGGGTGGTGCCTGATTGGTTTGAGCTTGACTTCAAAGGTCAAAATTACCAGGAGGTCCCAAGTTCAAATTCAAGGAGGAATAAAAATCTCATTGTGGACACAGAGGTTCAAACGCTGTGACTCCGAGCTATCTACAAAACAGGTGGTCGCCATGTGATTAGTCGGCTCGTATAGCGAGTTGTATATCCAGGTTAATAAAAAAAATGATTGATAAAATGAAAAGTATGGGGGCTATTTGTAAAACAACCCTAGTAGTTTTGTCTTTAAGGGCTTTTGATGGGGAAAAAGTGAAAGCATGGCTAGCTATTTGTAGAACAATCATACTAGTTTTTTTCTCTCTTGGAAGGGCTTTTGATGGAAATAATGAAAAATAGAGGGGGCAACATGTAAAATAACTTTATTTTGGAAGGGCTTTTGATGGAAAKAATGAAAAATAGAGGGGGCAACATGTAAAATAACTTTATTTTGGAAGGGCTTTTGATGGAAAKAATGAAAAATAGAGGGGGCAACATGTAAAATAACTTTATTTTGGAAGGGCTTTTGATGGAAAGAATGCAAAGTAAGGGGGCTAGTTATAAAACAATCATATTAGTTCCTTTTTTTTAAAGGGCTTCTTATGAAAAAGAATGAAAAGCATAGGGGCTATCATGTTTTTGTGGGACTCTCGACATTTGATCATGGTTCTAAATAACTAGTTATGACGTCAAGACTTGGGTTTGCCGCCGGGTTAACTCGTATGACTCCACTCTAAGACTTGACTTGCATTGTAACGCGTTACGACAACTTATGGTACGTTACGGCACGTTATTTTGTAAGGTATGAGGTTACTTTAATATATATAACGTAAGTGATAAATGATAATTATGTAGGAGACTTAGCACTTAAGTAAATAAAAAAAGTATGCTTAAAAACTAAAACATTAAATAGCTAAATACTTACTCACACTCCCGTACACGAAAAGTCGAACACGAATTCTTTGAAAATTGAAATAGTAGCGAGTAAAGATTCAAGAGATTTAATCCCGATTTTGCATTTTTGATATCATTTTCTATTTGGAATCAGTGGTTCTTCATTTTTTTTTTAATTTTATTGCTTTATATGAATTTAATTTGTACTAAGGCATTATTCAAAACACTAACACATACAAGTGTGGGTGTGTGTGTGTGTATATGTATGTATATATATATGCCGCTTTGGTCTTATCATAATTTGTAAAGCTTGAGGCTTGACCTTGCTGCCATGCCACCCCTCACGCCATTAGAACCTTGCATTTGAATGGTTATTTGGTTGAATATTTGAGTTATAAAATCATTTTCAAGAAAATACTGGTTCAAATAAAAAAGCTAAATATCATGAGAATCTAACAAAAATAAGGGAAGATTCATATACGGATTATTGAAAAAATCCATTTGAAAATGCATATATGAACCCATATAAATAACTTGTAATTTCGATTCACATATGAATCGTCAAATAGATTTTTTCATTCATCAAATTATCCAAAGGGAGAAAATAGAGATTTTATGTATCTTTTTGCTTTAATAGATTATCCAAAATCTTCTCTAAAAATGGAGAAAAGAGAGAGAGTAAATTTTTTCAAATCTAAATAACTCCTTAAAAACGATTCTTCATTTTGAAGATCACAACGTCGATTATCTATACTATATTATAAAGCATTTGACAAAACTCTTAAAAACCATTTTTATGCATGAAGTACTGTTTATTAATACATATTACTTAAAATTCAAGATTACAAGTAATTTTGCTTAAATACAACTTATTAAAGCTTCAGTTTTAAATTCGTGTACTAACTGCAGATAAATATAATCAAATAAAGGATAAACATCCATTTTAAATATAAAAAATCTAAAATATAATAAAGATAATCATTGAGTTCTAACAGAATGTTTAATTATTTATCTTTATAAAATATTATATTATTAAAGCAAAATAAATTATTTTATTATTAAATCTAAATTAACTTATAATAAAAAAAATTGAATTAAAGAAGTTACACAAAAAAACGAGAACTACTAAATAGTTACTTTAATACTAATATCGATTTTTTTTTTCAAAATTTTATGTTATCTTCAAATTTATATTTCATTTAAAAATAAAAACATTATCACTTTCTCAAAACCAGATAAAATCGTATTATAACGATAGATACAAAATAAAAACTAAAGATTAATGAAGATCTATCTTGCTGCATTGTGCAAGGATCCTTCTAGTATTATTAAAATATTTCATTCATCTAATAAATATTATTTCTCTCTAAAAATTTAATTTTAAAATATCCAATTTGTAGGAATATACTAACAAATATTTTCTTTCTCATTGTAATCATTTTTAGAGAGTTCTTCAAATTTAGAGGATTTTACACTCTCTTTCATACTTTCTCCATTTTAAAGAATCTCCTGGAACAAAAAACATGCACAAAATCTCTAAAATATCTATTTTGGAGAATTTACTAGAGATGTTCTCACGAGCGAGAAATAATATTTTATTAAATGTATGAAATATTTATTAATATAATTAATGTTATAATATTTAAAATTAAATGTCTACTAGAATTAAATGCATTTTTTTAAATATTTTGAATTTTAACTCTTTATTCTAAAAAAAAACCATTTGAGAATGAGATACTCTAATGAACCAATGTAAAATAAATTATTGTGGAATTACTTTTTCATTTTCGTAATAAATAAATATAGTATTTAAAATTAAAAGCTAAAGTTTTCGTGGGTAAAATAAATATATAAATTTACTTTTGAAAAATTAAGGGGCTGTTTGACAATTGCTGAATGGTTTGGTTTAGAATGATTAAGTGGTCAGAATGATTAATAGGCTCTTATGATATAGTGCTAAATGAAATATAATTGTTTGATAATTATGTACAATGAAATTAGGGCTCTTAATGGTTTTGGGAGATTCATGATACAAAATCATTCAGAGGGTTTCAGAACCATTAAGAGAAAGACTTTTTTTCCGCCAAACAAGATTCACCTCTTAACGATTCAGATGTTGCTTCTTAATGAAACTATTAAGAGGTAAACAAACAACCCCTAAGAGTAGGAATTGCGAGCTCAAACATTTATGCTTCAATACTACATAAAACAATGTTGTTTTACAACTTCACGAAAAACACAAGAATACGATTAATGAGCGTAATCATGTTATGATAACCCTGAATTAGTAACAGTTTGATCATTGATCGATTTAATATTACGTCGTCCGGCAATTTTCAATATTATTTATTATAAATGTCACCTCGTCGCTACGAAATGGCATCTCTTATCGGTGGAATATGAACTGCGTTCTACCTTCTTTCAGAGGCAAATCGTGGGATCATTGAAGAATGTGTGGCAAGCGGATCTTCGGGTTGCAACGTATTCTCTTTGGAAACTCAGAAATGCTTATTTTTTTATTATAATTTATAAATATATTTTTTAATTGTTATTAAAAAAATGAAATACATTTATATGTCACATAAAAAATAATGCTGGATTTATAGATTTACGTCATTATATGCACATCAACTGGTTCAATATATGATTTATTTATCTAAGGGGCCGTTTACCTAAAAACTTACCCGGTAAGCACTTATCAGTAAAATTCAACACAATCGCTTACTTACCGGGTAAGATTTTATTCACTAAAACGCATCGTATGCAACAATTTATCCCGGTAACTCGGTAAGCGTTAACCATGGTAAGAGTACTCGTCATCACTTACCGGGTAAGACTCTCGATTCTTACTTTCGCTCTTACCAGGTAAGATATTTAATCCTTGTCATATTTATCCGGTAAAGTAAAGTGACTTCGTAAGCGCTTACCTGGATTAACGTTTAGTAAATGACACCTAAGATTTCTATAAAAATATGTAAATTAATATATTTAATCTTCAATCATAAATTCGTGATTTATTAATATTTAAATATAATAAAAATGATTAAAATTAGAGAATGAATGGTAAAAATATAAGGGATTTTGTCGTGAAGCTGCAACCATGTGAATGTGACGAATTTAATTTATTAAATAATATAATCACCGAAATTCTCTTACCCTATAACCGTATTCATGGTTCCTTCCAACCATTTAAATTTAAAATATTAATAATTAAGTTTTGTTTGAGTGGAGAACCTAAATACTGTCGCCACGTGTTTTTTTCCTTCAGAAAAAGTGGTTTTTATTTCATTATCTATTTTCATAAAATATAAATATTATATTTAGATTAATTTGTAAATGTTACGATTAGGAAAAAGGCGAAAAGTTGAGCTGAAAACCATTGCTTTATATTTCTTATCTGGCCCAAGAGATATTATACAATATATTTATACCGAGAGTTAAAAGGGGTTGTTTTTTTACTTCTTGATAGTTTTATTAAGAGGCAACTTTTGAATATTTAAGAGATGAATCTTGTTTGACAAAAGAAAAAGTTTGCCTCTTAATGGTTCTAAAACTCTCTGAATGATTTTGTATCATGGATCTCCCTTAACCATTAAGAGCCATAATTTCATTGTACACAATTACCAAACAATTATATTTTATTTTGCATCATATCATGAGAGCCTCTTAATTATTCTGACCACTTAATCATTCTGCACCAAACCATTCAGCAATTGTCAAACAGCCCCTTACCGACTTAAAAACAAGGGTACAAGGAGTATAATACTAAGCACAATTACTTTAATTTGGCCTTTTAAGATGGACTTTTAAAGATGTCTTGAAGAGCCATCTTGGATGTAATAGGTTGCATCTTGGACTTTGGTAGCGACTTAGTAAGAATATCGACAAGTTGAAAACGACTTATGATAGACAATAGTCTAATGGTACGATCAAGAACCTTGTCACGAATAAAATGGCAATCGAGTTCGATGTGTTTAGTATGTTCGTGAAAGGTAGGATTGGAGGCTAGTTAGACGGCTGACTTGTTATCACAAAAAATAAAAGTAGTACCGTTTTAGCAATTTATTTAATTAATTATTAATTAAATTAATTAATTATAAAGCATAGTTATTGATTTTTAAGTTTTGTATTACCGAATTTTTGTTTCGGTATTTGAATGTTGCAAATTTTATTCCTTGCAATTAAAGACCCTTCAACATGGTATGTACTTCTTGCAAACTTATGTCACTTAAAATTGGAACAGAATCACAAGTTTTCATATATCTATATTATATTATAAAACATTTGACAAAAACTCTTAAAAACCTTTTTTTATGCATGAAGTATTGTATATTGATTCATATTACTTAAAATTCAAGATTACAAGTAATTTTACATAAGTACAAAGCTCCATTTTTAAATTCGTATAACTAACTACAGATAAACATAATAAAATACAGGATAAACATCTATTTTAAATATAGAAAATCTAAAATATAATTAAGATAATCGTTGAGTTATAATAGAATGTTTAACTATTATCCTTATAAAAAATCATATTATTAAACCAAAATAATTAAATTACTTTGTTATTAAATCTAAATTAAATTATAATAAAAAATTGAATTAAAGAAATTACATCAAAAAAAAAAGAACTAGTAAATAGTTAATTTGATATTAATATCGATTTTATTTTTCTCAAATTTTTATGCTATCTTCAAATTTACATTTTATACAAAATAAAATCATCGCTTTCTCAAAAACACATAAAATCGTATTATATCGATAGAGACAAAGATTAAAAATTAAACATTAAGATGTAGATTTATCTCGGTGCATTGCACGAGTACTCTTCTAGTATATATATATATAACTTGAAGTTGAAGTTGTATAAAACCAGTACTAACCGAAAAAGTCAGTACCAATTACAGTTGGTTGATATATAACATATAGTTTCATTTACCAATTATAATTGGTTAAGAAAAAGAGTCATGTAAAACTCACCCAATTCAGTGTAGGTTCACTTGTTCTTATACATCCAAGTACTTGTGCTACTTGACTAACATGACATTATGAAGGGTTTCATTTTTGAGCCGAACTTGGCCAATTCGACGTCAGGCTCGCACCCAGGTCTATGCAACCTCACGTATGAGCTTGAGCTCGCGTTCAGTCTCGCTTATGATGATGCGGGCTCAAAGGCAACCTCCAACCTCCCCCATCTCTGCATGATTTGGAGAACAAATTAAAAAGGGCTTTCTCTGCATGGGAAGCTTTTTAACAATTTGAAATACGTTTAATGGTTAATAAAATATACTCTTCGTCCCAACATAATATAACGATCCAAGTCTCTTCATACTAACTCGACCTACTCCTCCGACTGTTCGACAAAGGTTTTAACAGTTATCGTATGGCCATTTTGCCGATTTGAAAAGCGATGTTCAGATGAAACAAATAGATGACCTGATCTTGAATGTTTTCACTTCCCAGCTCCTAACATCAACTTGTAAAGTGCATATCCTCCTCGGTGGCAGCCGGGCATTTTGGACGCCATCTTCTCCAACTCACTCTGATCATCATAACACAATTTTATAAACAAGGGACTGCCATCGGAGTCGAAACCAATGGGGATTTCAAGTGGCAAGTGAAACCACACCGATTACCTTCAAGTTAATGATCAAATGATGATTTGGGGGTAGAGCATATAATAACTCACCGGTTCGATGGTATAGAGTTTTGTTGACTCGTAGCTATCTTGTGCACTGGAATAGACTTGTTGGACTTCTGTTGATTCAAGATTGCACTTGATGAAGAAAAAAGCAGCTGGTCTGACATTCAATACCCTGCGGGATATACCAATGAATAAGGGCTCACTCTGCACCGAATCAAATGATTACACGTTAGATTTCTTCAAAAGTAGAAAAGATTATATTTCTAGTATTTGACGTTGTTCCGATCTAATACATTGACACCAATCAAGCTATCAGGAAGAAAAAAAGTCTGGAATTAAGAGGAACGACGATCTTATATATATAAGGTAGTAGGATTCGAGGAGGCTATTTAGGTAAATGACCTTGTATGGAAATCCCTTTCACAAACTAGTTTTTTTTTTCAAGATTTTATGGGAGCAGGCAGGACGTTCAATTCCAAGGGCAGGTCATTTGAAGATTATTGATTTCAATCCTTTTTAAAACGCAATGCTCCTAAATGAAAATTCATTTAACCTGAAGACCATAAAATATCATTCTTAAGCAACATACAACACTTCTTTTTTCGTTTCTATAGAAGGCCTGGGAGGGCCCCCCCCCCACCCAAAAAAAAAGCAGTAAAACTTTTGCATGCACCACTGGTAATTCACAGGGCACTACACAAGTGGGACTCGAACTCACGCCCTCTGGGATATCCTTAATAAGTCCCAACCAATGAGCAACCCAGCTGGGTCAAAATACGGACACTTTCATGATATATGTGGTTAAAACTGGTTGAAGATCGCATCAATACTAAAATATCAGATGACATATAGCTTATTTAAGATCACAGCAGGTGAAACATATAAAGAGAAGAAATCCGGGGCAAAAGAACAATTAGCAGTTCGCCATGAACTTGGAGAGATTCTTACCAAGGTTGCTGCAGGTACCCCTATTTCTTCAACCACTTCACGGACAATGCTGTCAAACATCTCCTGAGAAACTTTACTGTTTATCAACTCTGAGTTTTGCAACCCTTTTTGACACTTATGGGATGAAATACCAACTTCTTCGGGCTGTCAATCATAAAGGAAATATCATTGGCCTAGTCATGATATAGTCCAGGTCTACTTGTTAAAGTAACGGCTAAAGAAAACAAAGAAATACTACTACTACACACCTACATATTGCTATACTTTTCGAAGAAGAAAGAACACACATCACATCTATCCAAAAGACATGTATCGTGGCAGAAAAAGGCGAATCCCCGACTTCACAGGAGAAGTTGGGGAACAAAACGACTTTGCTTCTTGTCATGCTGATGAATTTTGTTCGGGAGAGAACAATGTGAAATTGAATAAGTCATCATTAGCATCAGTGACTCATTGATCAGAGTCACTGATCACACTGTTCAGCAGGACCACCACGAGGGGTACAAGGGGGCCCGGCCCCCTTGACCCCTGCTGTGTGGAGATTCTGGGTTCAGGTTAGCTTATATAATTGTGCACTACACACCTCCTAATCCATATTATAGCTTAACCTAAAACCCTTCAGTCTCTTGTAAATCTCAATTACGTTAAATGGCTGACGACACTAAAATCACCAACATGACTTGCGAATTGTGATGCTTCAGTGTAAGCAACAAATTCAAATGCAGCAATCCTCCTATAAGTGGTCGATCTTTTATAGTAGGCTTGATACTGTAAGTGCCCACAAGCCTGCCGTTTATTATTTAACAAGAAAAGGAACAGATAGAAGTCAAGAATCATTGATCATACACCTCAGGATGACCACCAGGAAAGACCAGGTATCCAGGAAATTCTCCAACATTATTACTTCTTTGGAGCACAAGTATCTTATTGTCAGATGTCTCTACAATTGCACCGTTACCCAATGGACTGGATGTGTGTTGACACTGTTTGCAATCATCTGCAAAAGGTAAGATGTAGTGTCTGCTGAAAACATATGAAATAGTACTGCTGAAGTGATGTAGAGATCGTTGCATTTAAGTAGAAAATCGAATGTAGATTGGTAGCAAACACAAAGGATAAGATTGTCTCAACATAAGGTTAGTTACAGAATTTTAGACTACAGCACTCAATTGACAGACAAAATCCAATGAAGAATACACAACCATAATGTTCACATGTAGTATGTGATTCAGGAAAAAACCAAAGAAAACAGTTACAGATAAACACATGCCTACACAGCATAAAATCTGTTATTGTTCTCAAGTCCCTAACGTATCCCTCCAGAGAGAGGATGAATATTAACTAGTGAAAGTGAAGAAAAGAGATGTATTAGACTCTCAATGTTGCATTGATCCAAATAATAAAATGTAATTGTGTTAAAAGTTCATATATTTTTCATGTTACCTCCTTTTACCAGTAGTGCAATCTTTTTCTTTCTTGACAGAGGGTGCAATCTATAAGTGCATCAGATATGAGTTATAACAGACTCTGGAGTGAAGTAAATTTAAAAGAACTTGGAGTGCACTGCAAAGTAGAACTGGAATTATAGTCCTGGGACATTGATAAAAGAAATGCATATATTACTCAGTAATGGAGGGGTGACCACTATGAAGCAGCATGTTTCTTCTACCCCTTGCCTAATATATGTATCACGGTGCTTGTGCAATTCCTTGGTATGGTGGGGGTGTGCATGGCTATGGTTTAGGCCAAATATGCATATCTTTGATCATGAATACGAGGGATAAAATATTGGCTAAAAATGAAGATGTACTCATTCACAAATTATAAATTAAGGTAAACAGATAAAGGTACACTTTATTGCATATGAGAGAGAGAGAAGGAAGTGAGGCACAAGAGTATTTTTTTCTTTAAGAATACTCCATCGGTCACACAAAAGATCATTTTCAACAACGAATTGTCCCATAAAATGCACATTCTCTTTTTTGTGGAAATATTCCTTCCCGTATGATTCTATGATAGAAAGAAATCACAAAAGGGGTATGTGTTGCTACCATTTTGTTTACTATTTTTCCATTAGCAATCGTTACAATTTTGAAGATATTGGTAAGATTAGTTATAGCCTAAAAGTTTCTTCAATATCATATTTGGGGGATTTCAGGTACCTTGTTATTAGTCAAAACTTATGTTAAACTATGCATCAAATTAAACAGTGCCTTTTTTTGGGATGAAGTGTGTGCTTATTTCATACATGCTGTATATATTCTGTTGATTATAATTATGTTACTCCAGTAAATATAGCGTTTTCTATATTAAATCTCCTAAAATTAGAGTTCATCTTTGTTTTTCAAATAACCAATGATGAAACATAAACTATGAGAAATGTATTTCTCTCATTGGTTAGTTTATGACTTATATATTGTGATGCATACACACACATCTATATGCCTGCATACATGTGTGTCTGTACATATAAATTAAACGATAAATGCTTTTTCCATAAAAGCTTTTTCTCTTGCGCACTTGTACTTTGTTGATTTTATTTAGCATGTGGGGGGAGAGGCCGGGGGAGGGCGCTATGAGGGGCACCTGGACATGAACATGTAAGATCTCTTTACCTTCAGATGGATGAAGGAATCTTTCCCATAAAGGATTTAAATTTGACCCCACAAAAGTCCTGAAGTAGAAAATGATATACAAAGTTAGGCAATATTTCAGGGTAAAGAGATGATAAACATAAGTAAAAAAGGTATACAAACACACACAGATATACATATATATATATATATATATATATATAGAGAGAGAGAGAGAGAGAGAGAGAGAGAGTAGAAAAAGAGTGAGAACCTATAATCTGTCAGACCAAGGTGAAGGCATACATGGGGCTCCACGCCACTGTGTCCTCCATACTAAGTTGCAACAGCCATTAAAATGTAAGAACAATGTATGTAATGCATAAAATGAACAATTATGCGACCTGAGATTCTTTTAACTTATATTACATCCAAATTATTGATGTATTTAACGGACAATCATGAACATTAAACAATTTTGCTATACAAACTCAATTGCCTCGTGTAAATGTTGCAGCAGCCTCATTCTGGCACCACAAAGAATGACCAAAGGGTGAACGTGGAAATTGGGAAGCGTTGAGAACAAAGAAATTGTTTGAGTTATCATTTCTCTCTAGCACCAATACGTTTGATGTAGTCAAGAGAGCTAAACAGAGAGAAATAGGTTCACAATTTAAGAAACATATGTAAATCATACAGCGAGTTTAGACATGATCGTTGCTATGTTAAAAATTGTTTCCTTTCAGTTCCACTTTTGTTCATCCACCAAGCTTGTAAAGTTCTATTTTATCAAAGAAGTTCTGTCTGTTAACAGTAAAAACACAGGGCGATAGATGCACTGGACAAAAAGCTCTTCGGTTTTAGTTCTCCTTAGACCATAGTGATGCATTAATCATGTTACAGATCTCTTTCACTTGTCTATACAAGTCCACATGGATAGAGAAGGTCGGGAATGGTAGGCAGGGAAACCAAACGTAGTGGTGGAACAAAGGAAACGTTCGACCTTTCTATTTATTTGCCAAATCTTGCCAGCATTTAAGTTTGATATTTAGCAAGGGAAGAAACCTCCACGCAACACGAAAAGAAAATCCAGATTAGCCTGTTCCATGTATGATAATTATAATTTCTTCTCCATAATCTCTCTCTCTCTCTATTCTAGTTTCTCATAACTGCATCCACATCCTATCTAAGAACAATATGAATCTAAATGACTAAGGAGGAAAAACAGTTCTTCTGGATATAATCCTCTATTCTATTTGCATACATCAAATTGCTGCTTCTGTCAAAGTTAGATAGATGCACCATTATTTTATGCCCTATAGAGATAGAAGATGCCAAAATAAATTAAATATAAGATGCAATTGAAGTCTTATAAGTTGGAATACGACAAATGGACATTTCAATTATGTCAAAAAGTGATATCAAGAATGTTGTAGAACAAAAGGACAGGTGAAAACGAGAATTCTAAAGGTCACCAATTTAGGTAATTTGTTACAGATACTTGAAGTAATGACATCACTAAGTCAAAACAAGGAAAGACAATGATCTTGATAGGGACAGTATTCCTTTAGAACATTGAGGAATCCATTTTTCCAGTTGGCAAAACAGTGTTTTTACCCATGACTACAACATGACAATATTCAATTACTTAAACAACTTAACATGCTATAAAATATTGATTTAGGCCATGTTTGGCAACCATAAGCTAGGTTATTATTTTAAGATTATTGAAAAAGCCCGTTTGGTTAGTCATAAGCCAACTTATAAGCTAGCTTTTTGAAAAGCTACTTCAAATAGCATTTCAATGGGCTCGAGGGGTTTTTATTCACGTTTTCCCAATTATGCCCCTTTGTATTTTTCCAATTAATTTTTCAACATGTCCTTTAAGGTTATTTTACACTGTCATCTAGCTTGTCAGTTAGTTTTTACCAAACATGACTACTTTAACAACTAACTTATCAACTAGTTTGCCATACATAGCCTTAAAAGATAAATCCACACACCCTAAACTTTTTTCCATTGAACAATGATGTGCTTTGTTGAACCCTTTGATCCCATATCTGAAAAAGGACAGAAGAGGAAGCATATTAGCTCAATATAATAAGATATGTCCACCAGATCCACAATAATTATCATTTCAGCAATCTTTTTTTTGAAGTATATAATATTTATATACGGCAAATAGAACAAATAAACTCACACATCCTCCTCACCTTTGGTGAGGTTTCAACCCTTGACCTCCTAGGAGGCCAATGACTCACATACCGCTAGGCCAAAGGCCCTTTGGTTCATTTAAGCAATCTTATTTGCCATTAACACAAAGAAGTGCCACTGAAAGAAAAATAGCAAATCTTTAACACTCGACTGTTGTGAAAATATCTGTTGAACTAAGAACATCTAGGTGAATGCTACAAGCAACAAAACTATATAGTTGTTGAACGAAAAATATCTAAGTTATGCCACTCAAATCAACAAGATAATGAAAAATATCTAAGTTATGCCACTCAAATCAACAAGATAACTATCTTGTCACTTAAAAATAGAGTTATTTCCTGAATTCAAGTGGCCATCACTCTTAGTGTGGCTCCTAGAAATGCTTCCTCAACGTATCATCTGGAAAATGAAGTCAATTGACCAAATTCAATTTTTTTAATAGGGAGAAGCAACCTATTGTCCATATATAGAGAATCAAAAAACATTTCAAAAGCTCACCACAGTATAAATCATATATACCTAGCAAGAAATGGTTCCAACCAAAATCAATCTCTCATTTAATTCAAGTCTGTATGTTATTTTCAAATCATTTTATTTACACACAAAAATCCATGTCTTGCTTGGACTTCCATCGTTCTGTGTTAAACTGTCATCATCTTCATCTTAGCATTCAATAGTTTGTTGTTTGTCTACTTTTGCTCTTGTACATTGTGTGTTGTGATGCACTCTAAGTGCGCTTCGACAGCAATATGTCTTGGATATTTACCTTTTCCTTAGTCTGGTTTATTGGTTAACTCTGTCTTCAGGCATACACAATCTTCATTTTTCTCAGCAGATGTATCTAGTCAAACGGATCACACATGGATAACTCTGCCAAAATATTTGTGTACTCTGATTAACTAGCATGACATATTATGATCTTGATTCATAAATATTGTACTCTTTCAGGTATTTACTCCATGTCTCTCATTAGTGATGGACCCTCAATAGAAAGACTAAAGTGTTAGATTATCCGATGACCAAGTGTAATCAATCTCCCACTAAATGATGAGCTGACTCTCCATGCATTCAGGATATTTGATTTTCAAACTCTGTATAAATATATATACTGTTCTTACTTGTAAATTGCAATTAAAAAGAAATACAAAAACTCTATTCTCTACTTGGTATCAGAGCATTCAGATCCAATGGCAACCTAACCTGCCACCACTTCTTCTTCATCCCCTGTGACCACCTCCATTACTCCACAACAGATCATGTCTATTCACCATCTTATTTTGGTGCGCCTAGATCATTCAAACTACTTACTTTGGAAGACGCAGCTCAAAGGATACGGCCTTGGCAAAAACAGGACCAAGTTATACTCAGTTGGCTGCTGTCCTCGCTAACAGAACCGTCCTTGCCCAGGTAGTTGGACCTGACACCTCTTGCAATGTCCGGGAAGCCCTTGCAAAGCAGTATGATTCCAAATCACGTGTGAGGATTATGCGCCTCCGACGTGAACTTCAAATCATTAAGAAAGGTACAAAGACGATGCAACAATATTTCTCCTGTGCCAAACAATTGGCAGACAGTTTATCAGCATCAGGTAACCAATTCCAAGTTCAAATTTCCAGCAAATACTTGCAGGTCTTGATAGTACTTATGATGCAACCGTTACTACCTTGACAACCACTTTGGCTGACATATGCATGGATGGTTTGTATGCACGCTTGCTTGCATTCGACATGAGAGTTGAAGCACAGGTGGCACTCCTGCAACAGCAACCAGTTGCACTCGTTGCCTCACAACAACGTAGTGATGCATCAAGATTTCAGAATAATTCCAATCGTGGTCGTTTCACCAGACCACCAACTTGATCGTGTGGGCCTAATCCTTCAAACCAATCTCAGCCTCCACGTAATACATCTGGACCATGTCTGTTATGTGGCAGAAGGAACATTGTGGCTGCAGATTGTTGGTATAGATATGATAAGGCCTTTAATCCATCTATTTCACAACCTCTTACTGCGCCAACAGCATACATTGGCACTCCTGGATCCACCATAGATGCCAACTGGATTCCCGATAATGGGGCCACACATCATCTCACCCCAGATTTCAATAATGTTAATGCGGGTACTGCCTATGACGGTCCAGACTCGATCCGCGTGGCCACGTGGGTAATGGCACCAACCTCCATATTGAGAATATCGGTAATACCTCTTTTGTTCACGATTCAAGAAAATTCTATCTGAAAAGACTTTGCCATGTTCCAAAAATTTCTGCTCACCTACTTTCCGTGTCTCAATTTTCCAAAGACAATAATGTGTATTTTGAATTTCACCCAAAATCTTTTGTTGTGAAGGAGCACAGCAAAGGTTCTTCTAAAAGAAATGAATAGGGGAGGACTTTATGAATTCGACAATGTCAGTATGGAGAAAAACCCAGAGTCATCTAGTTTCGCCTTTCTCTCTGCTTCCATTCCAGTTTGGCATCAACGTTTAGGTCATTCTATGCTTCAAACAGTCAATAAAATTGTTAGGAATAATCATTTTTTAGTGTCTAGTAAGGTTGCCTCAGTTTGTAACTCGTGTCTTGTGGGCAGAAGTTGCAAGCTTCCTCTTTCAACGAGCATGACTCAATATCATGAACCTCTTAGTTTAACTGTCTCTGAGATCATTTGGATTCAGTCGCTTCGTTTTCTCACTTCCATTCCCACTCTCTGGTGTGACATCCTTGGAGCCACATACCTCAAAAAATCCAGTCTTTCATGCCCGTAAAATACACAGAGATAGACTACCATTTTGTGCGTGAACGTGTGGCTGAAAAGAAACTTCTCAACAAAAGATCAGTTGGCAGACATCTTTACCAATGGTCTAGGTGGTCCGAGATTTCAGATGCTTCATGACAAGTTCAACTTGCGGGAGGGTGTTAGACCAAGTCTTTAGGAATTATCCAACAACCATGTGCAATCAATCTCCAACTAAATGCTGAGCTAACTCTCCACATATTCAGGACTTTTTGATATTCAAACTCTGTAGAAGTATATTTACTGTTGTTACATGTAAATTGCAATTAAAAAAGGAGATACAAAAACTCTATTCTCTACTTAAAGTATGAACTCAGCCCAATACATGACTAAATTTCTGAAAAAAAATACATTCGCTAACTCGGTAAATAAGCCTGTCAGTCGATAAGAATCTTTATTTAAAAGTAAACCTTCATTGGGTAGAGTTTATATCAAGAAAGTGAAGAAACCATGATCCTTATTATAAAAATAAGAGTGAAACCAGACTCAATAAATCTTATTGGTTCTTCCCTATTATAATTCATCCCTCAAACCATCCACCATGAAAACATCAAAGCTATATGTACATTGTACAGTATTCTTTGAGTATAAGCACAATACCACGAATACGAGCAGAAGAATAAAGGATGATATCATTTGTGCTAGGTTTGTCTCTTGCACTCTGTTTGTGTCTAATTGAGGCAACCAATATCGGCTACCATAACAATTTAAAAGCTACAGATTTACAACTAAAATTCCAATCAAAACAAGATAAGTAGGATAAAATAAACAAACAGGGAATATATATATATATATATATATATATATATATATATATATGATGCATTAAGAAGAAAATCATTAGTAAGAACACCTCAGAAATGGACTTCTCTAAGTCAATGTCCGGATGAGGAACTCTATCGTACGATTCATCGAAATTCACTGACACCTATATTAAAATAAAAGTAAGAGATTACATAAATTATCATAAGCAATACCTTAAAAAGGAGAAAACAGTTGAAAATTGAATGAACTCAAATATCCACAGTCCACAGATCACTATGAAGTAATTGAAAAATAACAAAAAGAATCAAACATTCAATGTGTTCAAATTGGTAGGGGAATTTATTGTATTTGATTATGATTCATCATTTTGGAGGAAAACTGAAGCTTTACCTGTGAAGAAGAGAGACCAGAGGGACATGAAAGGAGAAGCTTGAATCCATTCTCCATGATCACCTTCCAAGCTTCCACAGATCTTCTCACAGTCCGAATCCGAAAGTCCTTTATGTGATCTCAGATTGGGTTGGGCCTCGTTTTGGATTTTGATTCGAGTTGGGTGTTATGTTTCTATGACTGGGTTAGGCCGTTACGGCCCAGGCGTTTGTAAATTCTTCCCATCCGGGTGGGACCGATCCAATTACATGAAATATCAACTAACTTTTATAATTTTTTATTATAATATTGTATTTTTATTTATTTTTATTACAACAATGTATTTTTAAATTATTTTTTTACTAAAACATTGTATTTTAAAAAATTTACACATTAAAACATTGGATAACTTTTTTATTTAAATTTACTCATTACACTAGATCTTAATACCACTTCATCGTCCATATAGGCTATCCACATGTACCGTATTGTTGACATGTCATTTCTTATTATAATATTGTATTTTCAAAATTATTTTATTATAACATCGTCACTTCTCATTATAGCGTTGCACTTTTAGTTTTAATATTTAGACATTGTACATTTAATCAAACATATTTATCAAAATTATAATTTCAAAAATTGATCATGTTTATAAAAGATAACAATTTCATGAATAAAAGTTAATTAAGAAATGGCAACTTCAATTAAAAACTTATTTAAAGAAATTCCTGCAAAATATTGACAAGAAAACAAACCCTTAAAATCTTGGTATCAATGGGGTGTTTGAGATTGTTTATTTGAAACAACTTATATTTTTTTTACAAAAACATTAATCAACTTATTATAAGTTAGAAGAGTTTAACTTTTTCAAAAACTTCTTATTACCGGTTTGACACCGATATAAGTTGTTTATTCAAACACTCAAAAGTGTTTATTACCGTTGTCACCATAGGCGAACCTGGTGTGGTGACATGGGTGGCACGTGCCACCGTATTATTTCGC